TTTATTTACATGTAAAACATTATAGATGAAAATAAATTTTTTGTAATGTAGCATTATTATTTCATTACTTATAATTATTATCGTATATTTACATTTTTATTATTCCCTGGTGATAGCCCTCAAGATACATCAATCTTCTTGGAAGAGAAAAGCAGAATTATTGACAATTCAATTTCAATCTCATCACTAATAAAGCCCTTCCCGTCATCGCCGGATGACCCTTCAAAAAATGGCTTAAAAAACTTGCAAAGGCTTTCTTAATCGAATTATGGAGAGGATGAGATTAAAAGGGATTAAACAACAAAATGCATTCAGTGCATTCTTCTACAAGCACTGGATTGTCTCTCAGTCTTTTACCTTTACGATACTCAAATTTCATTCCAAGTCTCACTAGTATTAAAAAAGGACATTAAGCTAATTCCCTACTCTAATCTGCCATATCCGCATAACTTTTGGTCAAACAAGATTATACTAGGTGTGCTCAAAAATTCGTTCGCTTTTTTTAAAATCATGATTTCCTATATTCTCAGTGGATTTTCTTGAAATTATCTTTATTTGAGAAAAGGAGCCATGCTTTTCACAGCAACATCTCTGCCATAAATTATTGTAGTATGAGAAAAATCGAGTGTTAGAAACTAATGAAGACAATTACTCCTGTTTTGCGATTTTTGAACATGCTAAAAACCTTAAAACTCACATCAAAGACCAAAACAGTTATAAAGTTTATGACCTCCTCTTTCTAGCTGAGCAAAACTCGAGACAATCGAGAGCAGATTTGATTTCCGTTGAAAATACAGGCATGGAAATCCGAAAAACACAAGTTATTAAAGCTGCTCTCGATGCATAAATTTTACTTAGCTACAAAGAGGAGGTCAGAAAGCCTATGTACGTGACCATCGGCCTGCTGTGACGTTTCTAAGCTTTTTTAGCTTTTTGAGCTCAGAAATTGCAAAACTGAAGTAATTCTCTACATTTGCTTTTAACTATAGGGATTATCACACACTACATGATCCATGAAAACGTACCACTGCAATGCGCAAAATTTTTTTTCGAACAAAAATACTTTCACAATTTTTTGTAACCCTGCTTTAAAATGTCAGTCTGTAATTCCTTTGAATTGCTTCCGACTCTCGGAATTATTTCATAATAATTTGTGGCAGAGGAACTGCTGTGAAGAGCATGGTTCCCTTTTTCAGAAAAAATACTTTCAAGATCCATTAGAAAAGAGGAAGTTGTAAATTTTCAAAAAGTTTTCAAAAAAGGCGAGCGACTTCTGAACCCACCTAATATTGCGTTCGCTTTTTTCAGATGTTTGTACATAGGGTATCATAGTTCATGGACTTCGTGCAATTCTTACGAGTAACCTTTGCTTCAACTGACTTGGCGGCTGGAAGGCGGAGCTTCATGACCCAGTTAAGGCCGCTCGCAGTTTGCGTCTATGTCGCGCGCGTGCTCTCCGATCATTATCTAGCCTTATTTAGGTTACGAAGTCCCCCCTTCCAGCCGCCAAGGGTATGCACAACTCAATGGAATTTCATCACTTACATAAATGCATTGAGCAGTGATACGTTTTCAAGAGTTGTCTATAGCATTTGAGAACAATTTTCAAATAATTTTCTGAAACGAAGTTTGCAAGCAAAGATTTTAGAGGACTGTTCTCAAGCAACGACAAGAAAGCTTCCCTACAGCCATGAATCAGCGTGAATTTCTGCTTGTTTTACGACGGATACCTATCATCCATAAAACCATGCGCTATGCTTCCATGCTTCTTAGGTATTCTAACAGCTTTTGAAGCTGGCACCAACTGTTCCATCACGATTACATGTTTCCTTGGTACAATTCCGGTTTCTTTTTTTGCCGTCTTTGTCATGGTACTGTAGCTTTTACGATTGTGAGATACAGCATTGTGGCTTGGCTAGGTAAACTAGTTAGTTCTGCTTTGAGCTTAGAAGCATTATTCAAGGAGATCTAGGTAAATGCCTGAAACTGATTGGGGATTTCTAACGAAGATTATGCCCAAGTGCAGGACTCGGCAGGGGTGGGGCAGGGACAATATCTGTAGGAAAAACGAAGGGATGTTACAGGGCCCAGACTGCATTTTCTTTCCGAGTCTTAATGCAGTTGTGCTCGAAGAACGCAGTAGCGAAAGAAACATTTCCAAGCGTTTTCTTAGTGTCTGATTTTCTTTCATATTTCAGTTTTTTCCTTGCGAATAAATTTTAGGCGCCACTTGATGCCGAGCCCTGCCTATACGGAGGCTTGTAAGAGTCACTCGAGCCGTAAAAATTTAAGCATAAAAGCTTGTACAGTACCCTTCTCGAGCGCATAAAAGCGTTCCTATTGTACTGGACGATTGTGGTGATCATCATAGTTGGAGCTTCAAAAGCTAGAGGTGAATTCGTTAGAGATCGTTGTTTGCCGGACAGTCTGCAGAAAGAGCGTTTCTGTCGTTATACTTTACGACAATGAGCCAGAATCTGTCTTATGAGGTGATAGTCTGCGCCAGAATAAAAAAATAATTTCGAAGTTCGATGGCGGCACTTATCAACCTGTTTCTCTAAACCGGTTTATGTCCAAAAAGTGAAAACGCTACATTCTTGACCTCTCAGGCGCTCGGTAGCTCGTACGGATAATTTTTGGCGGATGCATGTGTCAGGTTTAAGAACGGCCGAAAATTGAGTTTGGGATGTTCAGACATGTCATTGTCTGCAGCGAATGTGTAAGGAATGTATTATGAAATTCGAAAGCTACTTTAGAAGTAATGCTATTTTGTGCTTTTGAAGCACTTCAGGAACTGGGAGCAGCATTTGGGCAATAGCTAGTTAGTGGTGGAACTACTATATTGCATGTCTTTTGCTGAATTTGAATTTTCTGTAGAGCGAGGTTCAACTGAGATTCATAGTATGGAGCGAACCAATCGCTCTTCTTTACTGTACGGTTACGGTATGGACTTGGATTAGGCCTTTTGATGAAATAATTTTGAGAAAAATCTGAAAATAGTGTAGCAAGGTTAGAAGTGCTGATCTCACTGCATAAATTTCCACCAGTTTTTTCAGCTTGCTTGATAGCGTATTCACACTTTTACGAAGATTGGAAAAACAGTCGTTACTTCAACTTTGACTTAACTCATAAAAAAAAGCCCTATACTGAAATGAAATTTTCAAATTTAGAATCGGCGACTTTAATTAGGCCACTACAAGAGTTTCTGGCTGTTTGGTTTTCATCTAAGGCAAACATCACTCTCGATGGCTTGAAATCCTCCTCGAAGTTTCTACCGTAATCCTACAGTAATGAAAAGCGAATGATAGTTCGCTTCATACTGCAAATCTAAGTTCAACCTCGCTCTAAAAAATGACACCTCAAGCTCGGCAAAAAAACATGAAAGCAAGAGAGTAATTAACGAGTAATGTGCACATCTTTTTGGCACGCCCTGTATATGCTCGACGCTCCAAGAAACTCCTTGATTTCTCGCAAATCTGAAAAATGTAAGTTCCTGTCATGTATAATACTCTATTATTTAACCACATTACCTATTGTTAGTAGACAAATAGCAAAGGAAGGCAGGATACGCCTGGCTCAGTTCCGGTTGGAGTACATTCAGAATTGCCATGTCATCGGCGTTTATTTAGAACTTTCCCGCTGTACCCTTGGGCTCTAAAGCTTGCAAAAATATAGCGCGTGAGGTAGGTGTATGGAAAAAATGTAAGGATGTTATGTACAAGCCTTACTTGAAAGTTTTCGTCCCTTTTTGTGATGCCTGCACGCTATTGTTGAGTACTATATGCTCTGCATACTTCTAACTCTATACTCTAACCCCTGCTTGTGAATCGTTGCTTTCAAAAGTCCAATCACGGCAAACCTACAGATTTTGGAGATGTTGGATTTCATTTTGGAACTCCGGACATCGACCCCTTTTGATACGATAACGCCCTCAAAACCGATGCGATCATATATTAGGCCATTCCGAAAGCAATTTCGCTTTTCAAAGGAGTGCCACATTTGATGGAATAAAAGTTTCTCAGAGATCTTGGCAGCATTCGATGCAGCATTTCATCCTCTTTCTTAGGGTTTTAGTGTCATTGCAGCAAAATAAATGAGCTCTCAAAATTCAATAAAATCTCAGGCTTTTTGAGATGCTCAAGTTTTACAATTTTTGAAATTCTTCTACCAACGCTCCGAAGGAGTTCAAGTAACGAATAAATAGAGCGAATCCTACAGAATAGAACAATTTTTCTCTCCTTTCCATGACTCATCATATTTTTTTCATGAAATTGTGATTGGTGGTAGCGATTTCCATACTTGATCAACTCAAACCTCATAGAACATCAAAAGGTGAGCAGCTCAGGCGTCATTTGATTAAGCTTTTTCTCCTCTTTCTGGTGGGTGCTTTTTATTACGTCGTTGAGTATTTGGGAATAAAATAGTCATCATTCATGTTTTCAAACTCGGTCCAGGCTGTAGCCGAAAAACTCGAAATTAGATATTACGATTCCGTAAACTCTCGTTTGCTTTAGTGTCAGTGTTTGTGCTCAATCATAATACCGTCTTAGAGGTTTCTCTTTACCAGGTTGTAATGCCACGACATGAATAATGTTTGCTTCAAGAAGCACTAGAAGACATATGGCATCCTCCTTAACTTATAATCAAATGTTCTTCGAGACTGCGGGGAATTATGAATTTTCTGAAATTTTGGTTCAAAACTCTTTTTCAGGCAAATATGATCGGCTCCCATATTGGTGTGGAGTCAGATCACGGGTAACGAGAGAGTACGAAATACAATGCTATAACGTGGAGGTTTAACAACTTCATCCTGAAAATCAGCGAAGTCCGCAACCGCTTCCACACGAATTTGGGAGCCGATAATACTTTATCAAATTTCGCTGTTCAAATGAAGTTGAAATGGTGGCATCATTGCCCTATAGCATATCTCTCTCAAGCTTGTGTGCCTTCTCCAGTATTTCTATGGAATATCGTGGCCGAAACACGATAACGATCATTATAGGGCATCGCTTAATACATCTACGTTGTTCAAACGATCCCGTCCCGCGAAATCACCTTCACTTGGCCCAGCATTCAACTTTAAAACATCAACTATTACTCTCACCTAACCTGGACCACTAATTCTGGACGATTATTGATTGCTGTAGGAATTTTCGATGAGAAGAATCGTTGCAAAGATTATCTCTAAGATTTTATTAGCCAAGGAACAGGTGCGATGGAGGCTAGCTAATAATTGTGTTAGGAAGGCAGAATGGGTAAGTTTTTTTCGTTTTTTTACCTAATTTGGCAATGCTAGAAATTTCCTTGTAAAGGCTTGCTTATTGTAGCTAAATGTCGTAAATTTGAGACTAATTTTGTATGCTTAAATTACAGTATCTATCTTCCCTGCAAATCTCAATCTAGTCATATACTAGGGTAATAAAAAGTTTTGCAACGTTGTTCATAAACAGTTTGATTTTTGGTAGCGAAGTAAGTTTAATTTTTCAAAAGCTGATTAAATTCGAAAATTTAAGAGTCGGAAAAAAATAAAGCCCTTCTCAGATTAAATTAAACGCATCAAGCCGAAATTTGTAGATCATAAGATGTGTTTGATTCAGACTCAGAACGGGTTTATTATTGGTTTTCCGGCCCTTAAAATTTTGAATTGACCAGTTTTTGAAGAATTTATTTTTCTCCACTATACTACCGAAAATCAAAACTGCTTATATAAATTTGTAGCCTACCACCTAATCCACATTACGCCCAAAAGCGTCATAGGGGAAAAGAGAAAAGTTACGAAATAAGCCGCAAAACCTATGCACCAACCTAATACGTAATGTTTAGTAACGTAATAGTTGGCGATTAAGGTAGTGTCTCTGCGGTGACGACAACACTTGCGCGTAAAAAATGGCTTCAGAGCACACATTTTTGTTACGCGTCAGCCTTTTGCCACGCATAAGCACGCTACAGGGACTATAAGCACGTCCCAAATATCAGCATTTTCCTGGTCACTTAAAGACACTTTTATGCTTGTTACAGATGTATCGAGCTGCTTTGGTATTTTTTTGCATTTTGTGCGGGGTAGCATGGTACCAACGCACTATCAACATGTGGATGTTGAAGAATATTGGAGATTCGTTGATTACAAAGACTCTTGGTGAGTTTGCTTTCGGAGCCCTTTGTCAAACATTTGTTGATGTGCCAAATTTGTATTGTTAATAGCCAACGTAAAGTCTGCAGGTTTCCGAGAAGCCAAAATGAAATTTTCAAAATCTGCCGTTAGATAATAATGCATATGTATAGGGCTTATCAAATTGAGTGTCGTTTGCACCAGCATCTCCATCTTCGCGCTGGGCTCTGCGTCTCTTCTGCGCTACATGCTGCCTAATCACTTCCAATCGATTGATGCTCCGTCTTTCCCACGCTCACCCTGGGAAAGTGCTTAGAGAGCAGCCCTGCGGAAGAGACGCAGAGTCCAGCGCGAAAATGGAGATGCCGGTGCAAACGACACCCAATTTGATAAGCCCTATATAGTCAAGTTTGTAGTCATGTGTACTGCATGTAACGAAATGAGTGTTTTGATTTTGAACTAGTTGTTAGAATTATGAAATCTTATATCAATTTTATATAGAAAGATGAGTTATTTTTGACTATCGCCATCCTTCTTTACTCAAGAGTTCCGAGGACGACATAGAAATAACAAGTACTCGTCTAAGGATAGGAACGAAACGGAGTTCTCAAGTCATAATATTATAATTATAAACATTATTATCTATTATTATTGTTATTATTAGGTAACCTATTCTATTTTACTTCTTTGTTTTCCATATGGGTGTGTGTAGGTCTTGAAATAATGAGGTAATTTCCTTGTTTTGTTTACCGCATAGGTACGGTAATAAAATTTTCGCTTGATATAGTGCGCTTGCGGTGCCGAGAAAATGCCGTAAAATTTGCGCGTGAATAAACGGCCACGCCAGCAACGCCGGTGTTTTGCGCACGCAAGTGGCCGGCAATAGTGGCGTAGCTATTTGTTCGCATCTCGGCACCGCAAGCCACTGTACTAAGCGAAAATTATTAAAAAAATTATTAGACTGCGGTACTGTTTGTGCTCAGGAGTTGGAGAGTCCCAGCCTGGAAATTAATTAAGGGAAGAATTAGCAGCAGTGCATCAAAAACGCATTTCAAAAGAGCGCAATCTTTGAAATGCCTAAAAATATTGGAAAAAGTCTTTATTCAATCCCTCGTCATTAACCAGGTTTCCAGCGATTAACAAAGAGATCTGAAAATGTGAAAATTTCTATTACAGGATCGCGAAACATCATACTTGGTGTCTTTCATCGTCAGAAAAACGAACAAAATGTCCCCGGCAACTACGTCGTAGGTTCTCTTCCTCATTGCAATTTAAAAGTTTGAAAATTGCGCTGGATAAAAATTCGATATTTTAGGTAATCCATTTCCTGGCCGATAGTCGACAAGAGCACTTTTTGTACTGTTTTTCCAAACAGCCAGACAATCGATATTACTGTGAGCGACCGCAAGGAAAAATTAGAATTGCAGAACAAGTATATTTCTTAGGGACACGGGCCAAAGTTCAACGCATCAGTCGCGGCAAACGCGCCGCATCGGACGTTTGTGCCTGGGCTGGACATATAGCCGAATGTGAACTGGAAGTGCATGCTTTCAAAGAATTCAAGTGAGCGGTTAGATGAGAAGCGTTCAGAGTTGTCCTTGTGCCAGCGCTGCGCCGTCGCCGTGTCGGGAGCCGCATAGACGCGCTATCGATCGACTGACGCTTTGGTACGGCGCTGGCACACTGCGGGCACGGGCTCTGCACACGCAACAGGAGCAAATCGATCAATTCTCACCATTTCAGACTGAGTTCAACCAAAGAAGTAGAAGACGCTATGGTACTCACTCCTGAACAGCCATTACGGTAACTCATTTTTTCTGATTTTTTAATTTCCTTTGTTCGTTTCAAAGCCGAATGTAACCTCAATCTTCTGCCCAATCTCGTACCTTTTTGATATTTTGAAGTTCCCGGATATTCAGAGAACCCCGTCATGATCTCGTAGTATGCATGGCACCGATGTATATCTACACCGATTGGGAGATCCTCCTTGTTGGTATCGAAACATGGCTTGCACTTGGGGCCACAAAAATTATCGTACCCATACAGTCAGCTTCGACTACGACATATAAAATTCTGAAAGAATACGAAAAAAGAGGTTCAGCACATTCTTCCCCTTGTCTAATGACAGCAAGAGCTAATTATAGGTCTGGTGATAATCCGCACATGGCCAAAATGGCCTATCCTCTCTGATACAAATCCAAATGGGCTGGTTCTGAGTAGAGGTAGAGGAATATGAGGCTAGAAAACTGATCGTCAAATCGTCGAAAACTTTCAGGCATAGAAGAATCGCATGTGAATTGTCTGTTTTTCGCAAAACCGTTTGCAAACATGATAGCCTTCACAGATGTTGACGATATGCTTCTACCCAGCGATCCATTGAATATAAGACCCAATATCAACGTGGACATTCTCAAGGTTGGCCTGATTTGTTTTCAAAAACCCGTGAAAATCCACCGAGACGTTCACAACGTTCAAAACTATTTTTGCGTTGCACATTGCTGCATATGGGTTATGACAGAAGAAATTCGCAAACGTTGTCACAGTTTGAGCGCGTACGATCGCCCTAGCTCACGCGCAGTGTCGCTAATACCGCACAATGACGCCAATGTCGCTGGTTGTCGCTGAGGTCACGCAGTGTCGCAATGTCGCGAGTGTTGCCACATCCGCGGATATGTTGCAATGAGCGCTATCTCGACGATGTTGGTAGTAGCAAAGAAGTTGGTTGCAACGACCTGAGCATAAAGAATTATGCATTCCAACTTCTGAATTTCACGTTCTGGGGTTTTTTTTCAGTGTGAAATAATTGTTACGAGTACAACCTCTTCACTGATTACTTCTTGTTTGTAACTTTTGATTTAATTGGATTGGCGGCTGGAAGGCGGGCTTTGTGACCAGATTGAGCCCGCTTGCTCCGGCTACGCAGCCTGTGTCTCCCCCGCGCGCGTGCTCTCTGATCATTACCTAGCCTTGACTTGGTCACGAAGCCCCGCCTTTCAGCCGCCAAGCCAGTTAAATAAAAGGGTATGTCTGCAAAATCCGCGCATTGGTTTCCGGCCACTTACTACATTTTTTAGCAGTTTACGCTACACTCTGCTATCGTATGAGACCAAATTTTTCAATATATGTCATATCTAATTCAAATGAAGTAACATATAAAGGAAAACGTTTAGGCACTATTCGCAGAGCATCCCCAAGCGGGATCACTGCTTTTCGAGCACCGCGATGTACAACTTCAGCTAAGGGTGAGCACGATTATTATTCTTTTACTGTTTCCAAGCATGTCATTTTCTCCAGGAAACACCAACAACCCTTGCGAACTTCAACTTCAATTTCCTTATGGACTCCAAGCAGAAAATGAATTGTAATGTCTGGAGAATGAAAACACGAGTCGTAGTGAATGCAAGTAAGTCAACTGTGCTCAGTTACCCTTTGATCTTGGAGGCTGGAGGGCGGGGATTCGTGACCTAATTATGGCTACATGTTGATCAGAGAGCACGCGCGCGACAGAAGCGCAGACTGCGTCGCGGGCACGCGCGGCCATTATTAGGCCACAAGGCCCGCCTCCCAGCCGCCAAGCCAGTTGAATCAAAGATTACGCAAACACGTTTTACAAATTCAGGCCGAGTTGACTCCGTGAATATGCATGAAACAGGCTTACACCGCTTCTCTTATGTACAGACACGAGTACCGTGTAGGCAGGTAAGCTCCTCTCAGTTACTATAATATATTTTGTTTATTATGCAAAATTTTAGGCACATTTCTATCATCTAAGGCATAATCATCATACTGTGCAAAATTCTGTAGCCATCAATATGGCAACTCTGGTTTCTAACTTGAACAGGTAATCGCAAAATTTAGTACAAAATATCACTTAGGACAAGACTTGGCAATTCAAACTGCTCAGTTTGTATGGTCAAAAATCGATTAACTAACGGACATATAGAGACTCTAAAGATCTTTGCAAAACTCCAGAAAAAAAGCTTTCTGAGTGAAATTTTACATGCCAAAAACCTAGCTTAGAGTGACGAGCGAAGAAATGGAACCGGACAACAAAATGGTGTACCTTTCTTTTAGCAGAAAAGGACAACACCAAGAGAGTTTTGAGGATTTAATCTTAAAAGTTCATGACTGCCCTGTCTACTGCCATAGCCTGCAAAATTCCGGTAAAGCAGACGAAATAGATTTTACCAAGTTCGATTTCAGGCAATGGTACAGGAGGCTCGAATCTTTTGCGGATTTCCGAGACGAGCCGCTTAACAAATCTAGTACGGAGTCATTCGATGTAAGTCGCATTCACTTTCTTTCCCTCCACCTCCAACCTCTTATAAATTTTGTAATCTCAAAGGATATCCACGGATAAAGCAACAATGAATGGCAATATTTAGTAGCAGAGACATTCTTGTGACATATGTCATTAGCGGTGTAGACTCTTCGACGGGTGTTTGCCTCGGAATGTGATGTAATGCAGTAAATAAGCAAAATATTGGTGGTTCAGTGGTTTATCATTATGTAACCGAGAGTGTGAGATTGTGACCTTAGGTGGTCAACGTGTGATCAACAGTGAGGCGGACTTCCCAGGCGGAGCATGACAGAGATGGCCAGCCTACTCGGCTATGAAGTCATATGTCACGGGTATCAGGAATAATCGACTGTTCGATAATATATGTACTCGCATTAACTTAAAACGGTATAACAAGTTTCGAAACTTGGTGTTTCACACGAAGCAAAGTCATTAAAGCGAGCATATAACTTCATTGTAAGCATAGCTTGAATACAAAGCAGAAAGGACCGGTCAAAAATCCGTTATTTTTGAAATCTTTGGAGGGGCGTCGAATTTCGTACTGCTCATTTCTAGAAAACTGCAAGTGCATCGAGAAAAGTTCGTATTCCAAGTTCCTGTGTAAGCGATTACAGTAAGTTGCAAAACTTACTGTGATCGTGCGTGTGCGAACCTAATCTGTAATTGTTGGCTTGCATTTTGTTTTCTTATGCCATATGAGGTTTGGTGAAGCTCTTGATTGCGGCCTTGCGTTTCGACTTATCGTCGTCTACAGAGGCCTTAAGTGGTGCGGAATTCCAATCTTGCGTTCTAGCCCGCCAAATGCCTTATCGACCTCAAGCTAGTTTCGAACCCCACCGATTTCACTAACAAGAGTCGCACAAAGTGGAAAACGCCAACCCTTGCTTTGCTTAAACGTTGAAACACTGATGGCGTTGTGCAACCACTCAGACAATCGCCGGGGGCAGGCGGGCACCGGAAAAATAAATTGCTGATCTCTCGCACCCCGCTCGCGGATTTTTTTGAAAGCAATCAGGACTTTTCGGAAGACCGCTTGCTGAGTTCTCGATTCCTCAGAGATTCAGCAATATATCTGCAAATGATAAGAGCGAAAAAAAAACAACAGCTCAGATAATTGCCGGGGGCAAGCGGCGATGCGATTTATGGGCAGGCGGGCACCGGAAAAATAGTTCGTTGATTTTTTGCGACCCGCTTGCAGAAATTTGGAAGAAAGTTGGCGAAATTAAAGACGAAAGCTTGAATAACAATCGCGGTTTCTTTATGGATTAGCTGCGGCGCATTGGCCGCATTCTCGCGGACTTTCCGCGAGAATATGCAAAAATTTCGAGGGCCGCACGGTCTTTTGTGGAGGACCGCTCAACCCTCAGGTACTTTCCGCTGAGAGAAAGTACCTCAAACTTGAGTAATTAAACCATCGATGACACCTCTGTCATGTAGAGTCTCACCTTTGCTCGGCGTACGCCCGAAACCGCTTAAAAACCTTCCGAGCGCTTGCTGAAAATTTGGCCAGCGCTCGCTGAAAGAAATTATTTGCGGAGCGCTTGCAGGAAATTTTGTATTGCTGCCCGCTGGCAGAAGACGAAAGTACCGCCCGCTGAAGGTTTGGCCACGCCCCAAAATTCTGCTGACCGCCTGCAGAAAAGCGCGAGTTTGCGGACCGCCTGCCCCCGGCGATTATCTGAGAGGCGGTCTCTCAAAAATCCGCTGACTCAGCAAGCGGTCTTCCGAAAAGTCCTGATTGCTTTGCAAAAAATCCGCGAGCGGAGTGCGAGAAATCAGCAATCTATTTTTCCGGTGCCCGCCTGCCCCCAGCGATTGTCTGAGCAGTCGTTTGGTGCCAGTAGTGACAGTAAGCCAACTAAGAAGCTTATGGGCCGGTGAATCACTACTGGTTTATAACTCACATGACAGTATATCTGGCAAGAAGTCATTCGTGATCGTTAAACATTCCTTTCTGTTGTCCGATGGATCTCTTTGTCAGATCCAGAATGTTTCGAGAGTTTTCCGCGCAGATGCGTCAGATGTTTCGCAAGCCAAAATCATACACTTAATATCATAGTCTGCGTCACCAAGATGTTCATGTTTATGCTTCCCGAGTGGTGAAGTTAGATTGCCACGTCTATCAGCTAGATGTTTTTCAAATCTAACATCAGTGGTATTCCGGTCTCTCCAATGTAGGAATGCGCCGCTTGTTGTACATTCTATCTTTCTCTTGATCGGCAGGGCTACCAAAATAAAATCGTTGCTCAATTGTGCTCGCTCAGTGCTTCGCCGTATAGCAACACTTACTCGATCAAAGATGAAGGATAAATAGAGAGGAATTTTGTTGTTGCATTAAAGCATCTAATGTCTAGTAACGAAAGTTGTGAATTGTTTTTCTGGGTCAGAATTCAAAAATAAACGCTTGAAGGCAGTGGGTCGGCAAAACTGAACATCTCGAAAAATTGATATGTTAAAGGCACAGTCCACCCAAGACGGAGTTTGGCGAGATTATGATGGCATACTAGTGTGGACCCCCACACTAGGCAAACCCCCAATCTTTGCCGCAAAAGACTGCTTCTGGAGCGAGAAATCCGCTCCAGAAGTAGCAAAGTAGGCGGGGCGACCATGGTCGCCCCGCCCACTTGCATGCTTTATCTCGCCTGTGCTTGTTGCAGAGGGTTCTCGAAACAGGGATTTTTGAGGGTTTCGCGGATTTTCAACTCCATATTCAGAATCAGGGCTTTCAGAAGGCCTGAAGGCGAGAAAACATCGAATTCGAGATTCTGGGTGGACGGTGCCTTTAAGTTATGTTAGATTTCTTACACCCCAGACATGAACAATGCAAGCCGAGCACACAGCTTGCTGCCCCCGCCAAGAAAACTGGGGTGTAGTACGATTCGCACTATCGTAATGCTTTTTTCCACACAAGACTATCGCCGCACGCGAGCCACCCTGCGACGGCTCTTGCCCGAGCAAAAAAGAGAGGAAATTTTGCGACATGCGCGACGTGTTAAAACAAGTCAAAATCAGGGCGAGGCGGACGACCGCCCGTGCGAAAAGACCGTCTTTCAGAAAATTTTCCCCAAACCGCGCGCAAACCGTCTTTACATGCTCTTGGACAAGCTCGCGATTTTCCCAGCGTCGGAGGCGACATGCCGCAATGTTATCACGAGAACCCGCAAAGTTTTATCGTCTTTGCATCTCCGACCTTGGCGTAGCTGTTCCATTCGTCCACATCCAAGGAGGGCCTAGGGAAGCGCGGGGGGGTCTTCGTGACCTAATTAAGGCTGGGTAGTGATCAGACAGCATGCGCGCGATGAGGGCGCAGACTGCATAGCGGGCGCGAGCGGCCTCAATGGCCACATAGCCTCACCTTCCAGCCGCCAAGTAGTTGATTCAAGGGTTACCAGAATTTTCTTCTGCCTGTAATATCTTGTCTTCTTTATATGGATTTGTCATCGTATTTAGGACTTCGACCGTTGTATGAGTGCGATAAACGATGAGCACTGGACATTACACGTGAGCCGATGCTTGACTCCACATGTGTGCTTCAGTCGGTTGTCACGGTATGCCCATTTCGATTTATACAATATGCTCCAGATATAAACATTTTGTTGTATTTAGTGATGTCGACTGCGTCGCTGCACGAGCCGAATACGAGTTCTTCCGTTCTGGTGCAAATGGCTATTTTTTGCAAGTGTCGAACGTTTCTATAACAACATCAGATGCGAACTGTGAAGCACCTGTACCTCCTCTCGTCTCTGGAAATCACTACTTTGCTCCATAAGGGAAGAAGTTTCTGGAGTAGACAATTTAGGTGATGATTGCTAGAGTAATAAATTATAAGCTGTCGATATTGATAGTTATCTAAGACTATGAGCTGTTAGAGCAAAACCACGTGCAAGCTTCAAATTTTCAAATGTGCTGGATTTATATATTTCAAACCCTAAATTAATCAAAACTATGCTGTACTTTTACAATCCACAATCGGACAAGTTGTGTCAGGCTTGAAATAACATATCTTATCGCCATGGTTGTGCACCATGCACCTGGTTCTCCAAGTTCTGCGAAACATTCAGAGGACTTAGTGTTCGATGACGAAAAGTAGCCTATGACACTCGCCCGGCCCTGTAGTGTGTGTGTGCCAAGTTTGGTCCAAATCGGTCCAAAAATAAAAATTTCTATTTCGCACATACGTGCACACATACATACATACAAACACACATTCAGCTTTATATATAAGATAGTTTGTGATACAGGAAATCCGTTATTAGAGTTATTAGAGTTTGCCGAAACTGATAATGATATCGATATTTACTGCACATAAGTGCGCCATTTCAATGGTGATGCCAATCAGTGTATTCGATGAAAAAGCACAAAAGAAAAAGCAAGTTTGCAGAGATTCGCCTCAAACTTATATTTGACAGCAACGTTGCTGATCGACTCAGCGCGACGCCGCAATATGCCGAATTTCGCGCGATGTCGCGAGTGTCGCAAGTGTCGCGCAATGTCGCGAATACCGCTGACTGGCGCTACATTTCCAAAATTATCGCTCGTTCTGCGAGCGGTATACCGACAATGAAAGTATTAGCAGAAAAAAATTCCGGCTGCAACAATCTGAGACAATCTTAAGTTAAAATTTTCAATTGCCTACAGTCGAATCATTTTGTATGATGACACTCATGATCATACGAAATGATGCGACTGTAGGCATTTGAAAATGCACACACTGTCCACCTTTGACATGCCCATCCAGGATTCTTGGCGCAGACAACACTTCATGTAGATTTTTCAATGTGTTCCTGGTGTTTTCTTTCCTTTTTGGATGCTAATCACCACAAAGTGACATAAGCGATAATAACCCGCCAGTCTCTTGCGTTTTTGCGATTGCAGTTCCAGGATGAGGACGCCAAAGACGGACGGTGTGTGCAATGCACTATGACCATATGAAATGATTCGATTGTATCGTCGATTCGTTGGCCGTACGGACTGGTCAAACGCTACGGACCACGCGCGGCGCGGCTAAAATGTTGCGAGAGCACGATTTTAACAATGGCAAGTTTGTATCGGAGCAAGTGTTTTACCTCGCGGCGCGTGCTCCGCGGTTATGTCCAGCCCGTTTAGTCAACGAATGGACGATACTTGATGAGTTTTTCTACTCAATATGGAAACAGTTGTTGCATTTCCTGCTGATGCAGTGTGAGAAATTTGTGAGAAAAGAGAAGGAGATAGTTTAGAGATTGCAGAGCAGTAGTAAAGGTATTGTATCCGTGGACTGTGAATTACATGAGTATCTGTAAAGTAGCTAGCTGCTACTACTCATTATTCTAAAACAGCAAAGAACACTAGCAGCGTAAACTTTACTATTAATGATAGAGCTCATTGCGGCGAGTGAAAAACAAAATAGTCGACAAGATTTTCATCTGTGGTGGAGCTGTGATGATTGCGCACATCTTGATTAAGAACGATATGGCATATGCATCAACCCCAATTGCCAAAATGGTGGCATTGGGATGGCATTTGCTGCAGCAGCTAGCACAACCTGAAGATGGCAGTCAAGTCATAGTCACTGACATTTCAGTAAGATAGTTTCACCAGAACAAAAAGTCTCCAAGCTAGCATTGTTTCTCAAAGCACTTTGTGGTAATCTGAAAACAGACACTCTAATAACAGCATCAGAAAGAAGTGAAAAGAAAAGTGCCAGCGTGCTGAGCTGTTACAATGGCTATATACGCGAGCAACCATTTTGGCCAATGATAGAAATGTCAAATCTCTCACGGGCATTTGGTCTTATCGTAATGCATTTAATTTTGAATTCAAATATTCCATTAGAACATGCTCTTCCTATATGAAAGATAGTAGAAACTTTATTTTTACTGAGTCACAAAGATGAAATATCGCATTCCATTAATGCACTCTTCAGAAATGCAGTCTTTTAGTATGGGCTATGTATTGCTCGCTTAGGATGCGAATGCTAAAAAATACTTCGCATTTTTTCAAAACGCTTAAATGCAATTATTGCAATTTTATAACTACCCTAACTTCAGCGTACAAGCGCACCTTTTGCAATTTTTCAAGCGAGACGGTCAGCCGGTTCGCTGTATCTTGAATCGATACCACATGATTCTCTCAAGCAATACGCAGCAGGGTACAGGATCCTCTAGTCATCGCGAAGTCAATTTAAAGATTTCTGGAAATTTTCTAAAACTATTAATTAGATTTCAAAGAAAACTGTAAAGATTTCCAGGGTGTTGCATCAGCCACGCCCATCACTTTTGCAATTTCGCGGTCATGGGCTCGTAGAATTTCAAGAAGCATTTCATGAATTTTTTGAAGTGCTTGACCAACGCTATACACCTTCAACTAACAATAGAAAAATTTTTTTGCTCCCCCCCCCCTCCCTGCTCCGAAGAAAAATTCTGGATAACCACTGCCACATAACGCTTCGCAGTAGTCAGCCAAACCCGATATTTTCCCGAACACTGCAGCAATTTGCGAGTTTTTGTAAGAAAACATTATTATATTCTCAAATAGGATGTATTAAGATAGGCGGCATGCACCAGCACTCCAAGAAAATAGCTCAAGTTTACACTTAGATGGACCTATTTACAAGGGAGTGGTCAGAAATCGAAGTGGCCAGTCCAAACGAGCTGCATACCTTTAGATGCAGCATGAAAAGCTGACTTTGGGTCTGTTTTCTATATCTGCATAGCGTCCACGTAAGCGAAGTTATGAGCCGTTAAAAGCCGTTACTTTTTGTAAGGAATCGTGCATACAAAGCGCAAATTAGGTAGTACATATAGAAAAGTGTGTGTCATGAGGCGCGATGTTTATTGCCAGATGACCACCAAATAGCACACAGCAAGTGGTTTATAACACTCTAAAAGTATTTAAAATTTAGAAGGAGATATAATAGACAGTTGCATGGGTTGCTCAATCTTAATAACATGGAATCAATCAAAAATCACTTTTAAAGGTCAAAAACCCTTTAAAATGCAGCTAGGAACAAGTTCGTAAATATTTCGGGCTGTTTTCCAGCAAAAGCCATCAAAGTTGTAAGTGGTAACCTCAGGCGGATAGTAAGCTAATACACTTTATCCGCTACTTTTTGGACACTAGCATGGCATTAAACTGAGGTTTTGATTTTATGACAGCCGGAGAAATCAAGCCTCTTGACCGTCTCCAAGGATAGAATCATCTTCGGCTTACTGCTGGGCCAAAACATGCAGCTACTATATTCTGAAGCAAAGGTGAGCTGAAAGTGCGACAATGTGCTCGATTCGACAGTTTTTGTGCACAACTTTTTCGTAGTAAAAACTGCTCATAACTTTGCCCCGGACTACAGATTCGCAATCAGCGTTGAATGCTGTATCGAATGATAGGTAGCTTGCTTGGATTGGCCACTTCAACTTCTGACCACCTTGTTAACACATTGACGACCGCTTGACACACATGGCATGACTACCGCGTGGGACCGCTTGACACACCATGTGTGTCAAACCTTGGATTTCGTTGAAATGGCTACTATCCTAAGAAAAACTCATTTCATGAGCTTTCTTTTGCACTGAATCTAAGGATGACCTCTACCTTTTTTGTCAGCCTTTCAGATTTACTGTAGGTGTACTGTAGATGGCAGTATACGTAATTATATCATATCTTATATCCTATCCTTCTATTCTATTCTCTATTCTGACTATCCCCTTGTTGATAACATTTTGCAAATCCATGCAATGCTCATTGTTTGTCTGAATCTATGCTGGCTATTGTGCTTTTCCTTATTGACAAAAAATCTATTTTTGAACCAACCAACCTTTGCGCACATACATTTCGGCGCGGGTCCGGATAGACTTTTTCGTTATATATTATTATATTATGTTATATTACCCGTATCGATTTTATCAAGCTTTCTTTTTGGAGATTTTGAACTGAAATTGCACAGAGAATAAGTGAGCACGCTGATTACTAGTACAATATTATTTTTCAAAATAATTGATTAGTTGATTTCATTGCTATTTATTTACATATACATATCTATATGAATTCTATTTGCTATTTATTTATTTCAATTTTTTCCGTATTTGCTTCATTTGAATTCTACTGATATCTTCTCCACTGCTCCCCTACTTCTGTACTACAGGTTGGCGCATATAATAACCTGTTCCAAAAGCGGGGTACCGATCGACTCTGCTCAGCGCCGCGTGTCGCAAATGTCACGCGATGTCGCGAACACTGCTGACTGCCGCTACATTTCCAAAATTATCGTTTGTTCTGTGAGTGATATACCGACAATGCTGTATTAGCAAAAAAAATTCGGGTGAACGACCCGAGACGACCTTATTGGGTAGAGGACTACATGTCACCAAATTTGAGAGGGTCCCGCACGATTCCCTGCAGAAACGTACCTCTGTGCATGTGCAAGTGCATATTGTTGCAAATTACCGCGGGGGCCGACCCCTTTCGGCGACATAAAGTCCTCTGCCAACCTTATTCAGCTAAAATTTCCAAAGCCCACTTGGTGAATTTTTTACTCAATGTGAAAACAGTTATTGCAATGCCTACAGATCTGCTTTGAGAAATTTTTGAGAGTGGAGTAAGAGAGTTAGCTTAGAGATCTCACGAGGTAGTGCAGGTATTGTATCATTCTTCGGAATCTCCGCAGGACCTCATTTCGGAACTTCCGCAGCACGTTTACGGAACTTCCGCAGGTGACCCGGCGGAACTTCCGCAAGCGCTCCGCGGAAGTTCCCGTCATTTATCAGAGTGGTTTATTATTGGTTTTCCGGCCTT